TTAAGATCATGATTTTTCAGTATACTATACAGCACACTGTGAGAGTATAGTGTATGTTGTTTGCTTTTTAAGAGCATTTGGGACCAGAAGCAGGTGTGACATCAGACTACTTAACATCATCCAGTAGGTTTGAATGTACTCAATTTAAAATGGTCTGTTTTATGCATAAACGTATATCACTCTTGCCATTATATCACTCAGCACAACTATTTCTAACATTATAATATGCTATTATAAATCAGCATATTAGAATGATTTCTGAAGGATGATGTGACACTAAAGACGTGGTGATGATGCTGAAAATTCAGCTTTGATCACAGACATAGATTATTTTTAAAGTTTAGCAAAATAGAAAACCATTATTTTAAATTGTAGTAATATTTCAGAATATTACTGTTTTTCTGTATTTTTGATCAGATAAATGCAGGCTTGGTGAGCAGAAGAGACTTCTTTCAAAAACATAGTAATGTGTCCAAATTTTGACTGGTACTGTAAAAGTAAAAATATACTAAATTTAAAATGAGATGTTCAAATAAATGTACAAATAAAAAGGTTAGGAATCATATTTGTTCAAGTGCTATTTATTGGGGGTGGGGGGCCTCAAAATGTCAAGAATCGGCCCTGATCCTGAGTTCATAAGTGCAAGCAGTTGGTTCCTTGCCTCAAATGTCATGATAAAAGTTTGTATGTTCCTTTGGTGACATTTGCTCTTTGTACTTACCCAAGTGTAAACCAATTATTTAAATTGTTCTAGTTGAATTAACCAGGTCCATATCTCAGTGGTTCTGAAGTCACAAATGATCTATCAAAACCACATTATTGAGAAGATCTCTTTATTTATACTGTGCACTTCTACAACACACTTGATGTATAACAAATTTACAAAACCTGAGTATCACTGAGACAATTTGAATTCACAGAACCAGAAAACCAGGACATTATTTCATTCATGATCTACTGGTCCAGTGCACAGTTATTGGTTATTGACTACAGGAGTCTTTTACATGTATGCACTCACTACATATGACATGAGTGTCAAAACAGCAGCAGTGAATTCATTTGTTGCACACACAAATGAAGATCTGCTGCAAGGAGATAGCGATTCCAGCTCCTATGTCAAGAAGAGAATGTTTGTGGTGAGTTTAGATATTTAAAGGGTTAGTTCACCCAAAAATGAAAATTCTTCAATCATTAATTCCTCCCCTTCATGTCGTTCCAAACCCGTAAGACCTTCGTTCATCTCCGGAACACGAATTAAGATATTTTTGATGAATTCTGAGAGCTCTCTGACCCTGCATAGACTGCAACACAACTGAAATGTTCCCCGGTCCAGAAACGTAGTAAGGATATTGACAAAACATCAGTGGTTCAACTTCAATTTTGCGAAGCTACGAGAATACTTTTTGCGCTCGAATAATTTTCATTTTTGGGTGAACTATCAATTTAAGTCAAACCACAGCAGAGTTAAGTTTGGATGCAAACTGATAAGTCTGCTTGTTTGGTTCGCATCAAGGTTCAGATTCAGGTTCAGAAGGCAGCTTTCACATTTACACAAACGAACGAAGTTTGTTGTAACTGAACCAAACCTGCCACGAGTAAACACTCCCTAAATGTATCATTTGGCCGGCAGCCATATCACCCTGCAGCCCAAGCCTGGTTGCCCACTGAAGCTAAGCAGGGCTGAGCCTGGTCAGTACCTGGATGGGAGACCTCCTGGGAAAACTAGGTTGCTGCTGGAAGAGGTCGCTTTGAGTGCCTAGAAAAGCGCTATATAAATGTAATGAATTAATTTGCTTTTTTGGTCCGGACCAAAAGAACTGAACTACAAGTGTGAACACACTCTTAGCTGTAGATTTACAAAAGCAATTATCAGAAAGCTGTGACATTTTCTCCACATCCTACATCATGAAATGGAGTACTTGCATCCCTTGCAAAAAAAATTGCATCTCAAAAATTATCTTTTATTTTCTCTCTCATGATGATACATAGCAGAAACAGTGATCTACAGAATAATTCAGTGACCTCATCCTTAACATGTCTGTGTGTACAATTTTTAAACCTTGAGAACAGGAAATCCTGCGTCATGGTTAAGAGCAGACGTAAAGCATGTGCGCACTTCACTTCAGACACGGTAGAACCGAACATACGGCTCATAGTTGATATGCAATCCTCACGAGTGCTCCAAATAAGCCACTTCAAGCATTCCTTTGTATGGCAGCCTGTGAACGAAGATGTGATGGTTTAGCCAGCATCTCATCTTCTATTCTGGTAGTGATGCATCTAAAGAAAGCACCTTTCTACTGGTTTCAGACACATGGGAGATGAAAAAGGCAGTAGATTGTGGCAGGTCCCCTAGTGTGGTTTTATTTCATTGAAATGTACGAATGTTCCTGCATGACTGATTTTGAGTTTTCTTTACTCTGTTCTTTTTCATTTTTTAAACACTCTCCATTTGAAATTATATTGAGCCAAGCTATTGCTATCCAAGAGTCCTTTATCTAAGCAAATTAGATATACCAGAGCCAGATAAGGCCTTATCATGGAATAAATTACACTATAGATTTCTCTATAAAGCACCTTTTAATCTTGGGTTTGCCTTAATCTGCCTTTGGTTAAAAAGTCGATAAAGTTCACTCAATACAAGTGCTGCATTTCATGAATGTACGACAGAAATTTCGCTGACCACGTCTTTGATCTTGCTCCCCAGAGGTGGAAATGCTTCAGTCAAATTACATAAATGCTGGCTCTGCGGTCAGATTATGGTGAAGCTGATATATATACTGTAAGGTTTAATTCATTTCAGCAGGAGGGGACGGGGAGGCTTCCTCAGTCATGCAGTTAACCGATCACGAACTCTGGAATGCCAGAGGGATCAATGCATTCTCTCCGAGCCCTTTTAAGTGACGCATTTTGGGTATTCATAGGCCGAGACCTTAAATATGTGATATAATGCGTGATTAGCAGCAGAACATCTAATAATAGGGAGCACCTGGTCCTTTTATTCAGTCATACATGAATAATTTCTATGCACTTCTGAGAGAGATTGTTTGAGATACGGCCTTAGTTATCACCACATCGGGCACTCGGATGATCGGAAAAGAACTCACAAAGGCTACAGAGGAATGGCAGGGATTGCATTGGCACCTGACTATTTCCAGCTGACATCTCTGGCACAGAGACAAGGATTACTGTCCAATTTATCTCTTTCTTCTGAGGCTTACCGCTATCTAAGCTTGCCACTTCAAAGTGCAAGACAAACAGGGCAGAAATGGACTGTGTACTCTCGAAGAGAATAAGCTTAGCAGAACTCCATTTAAATGGCTGAAGCGCTGAAAGAAAAGGTGTTTTTGATCTCTGAAGGGAAAAAAATAACCTACAAAGGACCTCTGCAGTGCCTCTCAGTGCTCATATGAGGTAGGACACTTAAGATGGGATTGTGTTATTTCTGGTGGGTAAGTGGACTGAACAATGTACAATTGACCAGACGTGAGTTCTTCAAGTCAGTGCAATATTGTAAATCACAAATAAATTTGCTGAACTATAGGAGTAATGGCAACCTTACAGCCAAGTATCTCGTCAAACTTTTGGCTGTCAAGGACCCTGAAAAATGATGGCCTCTTTGTACGGGACCCCCTTCCTGTAACATAAAGGCAGCTACTCTATCATTTAAAAGTCTGGTTAAAAAAAAATACCCCAGTGTCACATGATCCTTCAGAATTTAAACAAAAAAAAACATTTCATCTTATGCTCAATGTGGAAAACACATTTTTTTTTCCTGAATAGAAAGCTTAGAATAGCTTAAAAGAATGGCATTTATTTGAAATAGAAATTTCTTTTGTAACATTATAAATGTCTTTACTGTCTCTTTTAATCAATGTAATGTGTAGGGAGAAAAATTTAATGACCCCAAATATTTTGAATGGTGGTGTATAAAACTAATTTTTACTGTATACGAAAATGTAAATCGTTAAATAAAGACTACATTCTAAAATTTAAAGGAAAATTTTAAAATTAAGCATGTAATTATGACATATTAAACAGATCAGCTCCCCCTTGGCACCAGTTTGAAAATGCCTGACTTATATGTTAAAGGTTTGCTTGCATGTGTGGGTAAATGAAGTGCCCTTGAGCAAGGTACTTAATCTTAGCTTTTTGCTTGGGGACTGTTCCTGTAATTACTATAGCTTAGTGGCTTTAGGTAAACAGTTCCTGACAAGTAATTACCGCAAACGAATATTAGGGATATTAAGCTTCTATTTTAATAAAGCAGATGAAGCCATACACACCTAAAACATAACAGGGGTATTACAAATGTTCCTATCACTTCATGATTGGTACACATGGATTGATTTCACATGGCTATTAGAAGAGGAGCATTGCTAACATGTAATGTACATCACAAATATTTCATGAGGACAATCAGCATGACATTACATTAAAAGAGAAACTGACCAACAAGCGAAGGTTCATCATTGGCAATTTTTACTCGGGGCTATGAGCTACAACCACGAAGAGAGTGTGCAAGGAGAATAAAGATTATGACACTTTAGAGGAGTTACCAAGCACAAGCACGTATAAAAGAGATGTCAGAAATGACTGATGGCACATAGGAGAACAGATCAAAAAGATTTCTCATTCACAATAATGCAAGTTTGTTGATGAGTACATATAAAAGCAATAACATTCAATTTTTTTTTAAATGTAATACATATTTCTACCAATACGGTATAAGAGCAAAGAGTCATTTTAAAAACACCCCATTCCTGGGGTTTTTTTTTTTTTTTTCAATGAAAATAGAAAAATATCCATAGATGAAAAGGTAGCCAATCTGAGCTGGTTTATAGTCTGACATACAATACTCTGTTGAAATATTGAAATACTGTGAGATGCTCTTCTCCACTGTAAATAAAAAACTTTAAAAAAAAGAGAAGAAGAAAGTGAAGCAAATGACACTGCAACAAACAAATCTGCATTTGTCCTTGGAACAAGCAGGTTTAAAAACACCCCATTCCTGGGGTTTTGTTTTTTTTTTCAATGAAAATAGAAAAATATCCATAGATGAAAAGGTAGCCAATCTGAGCTGGTTTATAGTCTGACATACAATACTCTGTTGAAATATTGAAATACTGTGAGATGCTCTTCTCCACTGTAAATAAAAAACTTTAAAAAAAAAGAAGAAGAAAGTGAAGCAAATGACACTGCAACAAACAAATCTGCATTTGTCCTTGGAACAAGCAGGCAAGTCAGACTATGAAGTATAAAAACCAATGAAAGAAAGACATCTATGGATATGATACAAAGCACGTCAAATTCATATTTCACATACTACTAAATCGGTAAAGGGCTGATCAGCGCTCTCACATTTAGAATCTCTGCTGGTTTTTGTGCTGCATGCAATGCAATATAGACGTTACTGTAATATATGATCTAATCTAGACATTACAAAATGCTCATGTAATGAGGACCTCACTTGAAGTAACACTTGAATACTTTATGATATGCTTTGTAAATTTGAAACAAATGGTTTAACCAAGGGTTAGGTTAGCTTTTAAAAAAGGTCTGAATAGCTTATAAATGACGTTCTTTGATGCAAATCAAACATATTTTGATTGTTTTTTAAACATTGCATAAATGTAGATTATATACAAGCATACAGAAATCATCTCTAAAATACCTCACTACATGTAGGGAAATTTCAGAATAACTGTAAGCTATTAAAGGTGCAAAGAAGATGCTTCCTCACTGTAGATTACTCCTCAGTCAGCTGCATCCAAAACAGAATGAAAGTGTTTAAACATACAATAAAACAAAAAAAATAATCAATCTTTTCGCAAGCACAGAATAATTGAGCTGGGTGACGAAAGACAATAAAAGAAGCAAATAAACGTGTGAAGGGAATGCTGATGATCAGCTCATCTCCTCCTCACTCATCATCGCTGTGGCTCCCCTCTGACAGCTCCTGAAAACAAACACGACAACATTACACGCACATGCGGACCACAGATCGCCCCACGGCAGAGCTCCAGTGACCCATGCCACACCTGACTGAACGCTGCTCCGCAGAGGCTCATTACTCGTGGACTGAGCTGCTTACTGTGAATGAGCCTCCTTATTTCTAGATAATGAGACAATCTAACACCGACTCATAGGCCTTGGTCACAAGGTTCTGACATATTCACACTGACTTTTTATGAGGATTGATGTTCAGACATGAAGCAATCACACAACAGAAAGAAAGCGCATGTGAAAGCGAGAGAAACAGACTTACGTTTTCCTCTTGAACTGCAGCGGGTGGGATAAAGAGAGAGGAATTAAAACTACGTTTCAGGGCACAGTAAATCCTTTTTTCAATAAGCGATTCCCTCGGGGAACTGCATAACATCTCAAACACCTTAAAGATAAGGACATGTGGCTAGGCATCTCTTTATATAGTTTTTAGAGGCTGTCTGTGGGCTACATTTTGAGTGGAAGCACCTCTTTGCAGGTTAGCCATCCCATAAGCGCTTAATCAAAGCCCATTTTTTTTATTTTGTGATAATATCCTCCTCAAGCATATTCAATCAAAATGTCAATGTATGCACCTGAGGTTTTTCATTACAAGATGTCTAATTAAGCTAAATGTCAACCGGCTAAACAGACTGTATCAATGACAGGTGTAATTGATGAGAGGAATGGTGGACTTACGTTCTCCTCCTGTTCTTCCTCGCTGTCATCGTCACTGACCACAGGCTTGGCCTTTCCACGACTTGGTCTCTTCTTGCCTTTGTCCTGACATCTCTCGTCCCGTTTACTCAGCTTAATTTTCACCTTCACTGATTTACCTTGGATTAAAAAAATATATGTCATTTATATAAAACAATACAACTGTACAACAAAGAAGAGAAGCAAATGCAAATTAGCTTATTGAAATGGTCATTTTTACTGGATAACACTATAAGAATTTGAGAACCCATATTGTTGCAATTTCACTCACATCTATTAAAAGCCCATCTTTTCAAATGCCACCCACATCTTTCTTATTCTCAAAGTACTTTGCTGTTAACTTGTTTGTTTGATCAAATGTAAACTGAATACTAAACATTAAAGACTTCATGAAATCCTTAGGGCCAGATTTACTAACAGCTTGCACCAGCGCAAAACGTCTTTTGGCGTTAAAATAGTACTGTCAGGATCTACTAACACTAACTTTATTTTACCACGCGCAGTGAAGAATTAGCACTGAAAAGGTGTGTACAGTTATTTTTGCACCTGACCTTATTTAATATGCATTTGTAGGAGTTTCCCGTTCAGACACAAAATTTATGGGAGAAGAGTATTAAAATGAATCACGCAACGTGATTTACTAATGTTTGCGCTCGTCAAATGTACAGTTATTTTTGCACCTGACCTTATTTAATATGCATTTGTAGGAGTTTCCCGTTCAGACACAAAATTTATGGGAGAAGAGTATTAAAATGAATCACGCAACGTGATTTACTAATGTTTGCGCTCGTCAAATTACTGGTATTTGGGCCTTTATTTATTGCCCAAAAAAAGCCAGTCTTAAAGCAGGCAGTAATTTGCACTGCTCTTGGTAGATTGTGCTGGTCATTATGGAAATGAGATGTTTCGTCTGTGTTCTTTAATTTGCGCATTGTCAGTAAATCGCCCACAGAATTTCACCCCTCCCACTGGCGCTTTTATGGAATTGCGCTCTAACGCTAATTTGCCATGTTTAGTAAATCTGGCCCTTAGTGTTTCGTGACTTTTAATTTATCAGCTATAAAATCCTGAATATGCCAGTGTACTTGATAAAAAAATGACAAAATTCACTTTTAGTAGATATACATATTACAAATGTAATCTTCCCTCAAATATACAAATGACTCATCTTGCGTTGCACTGGTTTTTGTCCAATCAGACGCTCTCAATTGAAAATGTCCCTTCCGCTAATACCACTTGCGATTGACTAGCAAGTAGAAATCAAGTTCACAGATGTGATGTAACTAAAGCCTTAAGCCGCCTTTATACTATTTTCTGACATTCGCATACAATTGTCACATTTCGTGATGATAGAATATTATTTCACACATATTTTGACATTTTATTTTCACAAAAGTTATTTAAAACATTAAAGTAGACACTTGAATTCATGCAAAATCACTTTTGCAAATTTAATTTGATAAAGACAACAAAATCAGACATCTCGGCTTTGACTCACTCATTTTACAAAAATAAAGTTTAAAGATTAAAAAAGATTAAAGATTGTTTTAGTGTACAGTAGTGTGTCCCCGACTAAGGATTTTCATAGTCGAATCAGAATTTTCGAATCTTGCCGATATTCGACTGATAGTTGAATCATATGTTTTGGGGGCGGGGCAAAATACATTACCAAGAGTCAAGTCAGATATTCGACAGTCATAATTACGTTAACACACAGGGAAAATGTGTAACGGACGCCTCACAGATACAAAAATAATGTTTTGATTAAAAGGTAGTTAACATTAAACATCAGCGAAACCCTAAGAATTCACAACATTTTTTATAATAGTGCTCTCATTATAACGTTATGTGTATGACAGTAGTTATTGTTCTGCATTTTTGTTTTGAGCTGCGCGCGCTGAAGATGACCAGTAGAATGTAGCATTTGATAGCAGGTTTTTAATCAATGGGATTTAACTCATCATTTATCTCATATAGAATACGCTTCGTTATTTATACAACATAACGGTATTTAACTCATAATTTATCTCATATAGAATAAGCTTCGTTATTTATACAACATAACGTTAATATTACGACTTATAGGTTATTTGCACAAAATGCCCCGAATGCACATGAACGTGTCTGCGTGGCTCTGAATGAACTCCTTTTGTGGACGCGTTCTTCTCGCAACAGCGTGCAGAAACACGGCAACTAAACTCTAAAAATTCACAGCGTTTTATTATAATAGTGTTCTCATTATAATTGTTATGTATATGACAGTCCCAGTCATAGTTATTAATATTCTGCATTGTTGTTTGTCCTGCTCGCTCGCAGCGCAACTCAACCAAATGCATACCTTCTTGGCACAATACATAATTCTGTCTTTTTTACCCCAAATGTAGCGATTATCCCCTGCTAACAGCAGGAGCCACAACGGTACGCACAATAGGTCAATATTCACTATTAATCAAACGCTTTTCACCTGTCTCAGCATCTCTCACTGTTTACACTTTTAATCCATAATAGAGAGCGTCACACCTGCCTCAAGACCTTTTACCGTTTGCACTCCACTTGATGCACTTAAACAAACAAACAGAGCAAATCTACACGTATTTACCTATTTGCCACCTATATCTTATTCCTATCTAATAGCCTATGTGCACCTGCCTCAAGAGCTCTCAGTCTGTTTACGATCCGATAGATGCATGTGACAAAACAGAAAATGCTGCTCACTCTGTCTGTGTCAGTTTGAGTCTTGTTAAAGATTTAAATTCCTGCCGCCAAGATGCTTCTCTGTTGGTCAAGGATTATGGAAAGTGAAACTTAAATCTATAGGGGTGGTTGGATTTATTCACGCACGTTAGTATATTTATTTGAAGCTTCTTTCTTTTCAGATTCTTATTTACAGCATTATTATAATAGGCCGTATATTAACTTATTGGGAGAAAACCAGCAGTTCTATGTGAAATCAGACATTTGAGCAACCCCATATAGCCAAAATGGCATGATCATAACACCCCGCGAATATTCGACTGTGAGATTGGTAGTCGAATCAGGCTCCTCCTATCGAAGCATCGAATCTTCGACTATTCGGGTCACCCCTAGAATATAGTATAGTATATAGTTGTATAGTTTTTATTAGAATACATCACATTTGGTCTAGCGGTCATGTATGTAGTTCAAATATTTCAACACAAATGAAGCTCAAATAGGTTTGGAAAATTCTGATTAAAACTCCATGTAGCTCTTGTACTACTCTTGAATGGAAATGATTGACTTCAGAGATAATGCGGCTTTATGCCTATTTGAAAAAAAGTGTTTAGGCCTTTGATTTGTGCCGCCCAAACATCCTACTTTAACAAAGAAAAGAAAACTGCACTTCTTAAGCAATTTAAGGGGAATCTAGAGCTTTAGTTTCATTAGTATCAGTAAATTGGTCCTTTGTTAATGAAAAATCTTACACTCTTCCTCTGATTCCTCCTCATCATCATCGTTATCATCATTGCTGTCATCGTCGCTCTCCTCCCTAGCAATCTTTTGCCTTGCACTTTTGAATACTGACTGGAGAACAATGGAGTCCTCATAGATCTACAAAAAACAAAGGCTGATTTAAAACAATAACCTGAACAAACAAAACATACAGAAACAAATTAAGAAATAAGTCTGTAATCTGCATGTCAATACATTTCTGAACATTTTTAAAACCTGGAAAGGTGAAGCAAAAATAATAACAAAAGCATAACCTATCTGCAGCACTCCTTTCAAACAAAAAGTGATGCTAAGAACTGTTTAAAGCGACAGGATAAAAAGTTTATAATATTTTTGCAGTGGTCTGGACTGCATCTCCAGATTGTGCTCATTTCAGAAAGGATGAAATATTGATTTCAGACACAGACAAAATCCGGTCAGTAATCCTGTAATCCTCTCAAAATACACAATGCAAAAACCCCAATGAAAGTACCGTGTAAAGAGATCTGCATAAATAGATCTGAAATATAATGTGCAGTTCTTATAAAGCTTTACATTAATAAATAATTACATTATCTGGGAACGGGCAGTAATAAAGTTCTTCAGACAAACCCAAAATCCAAATTTTATAATGCATGATAGCTATTCTTCAAACACATCAGTGACTATTCAGGTCTTTGTTCAATAATGACATGCTTAGTATTTGCATGTATGACAGGCACTTCATGGAATTCATGCAACATATTATCACAACAAAATGATGGTGTAGTGCTGCGAGGCAATTCATACTTAAGACAGTAATGGAGGTCATTCAATCCATTTATTCACTCACCTGAGAGCCCTCTAGATTATAAGTCTGAGCATTGTGACAAAGAAGCATGACGTCTTTCTCCAGATCGCTCACACTCCTGTGCTTGTGGTTACGCACACGCTCCTGGACGAACAAGAACACTTGTAACAACAAAACATTCTTCACCTGTAGGGTTCAACTTTAACAACTGAGGAAATTGCCAATTAGAGTTGCAACAGAAAATAAGAGCCACCGACATCATCAACACATAAAGGGAGTAAAACGGCCCATTAGAAGTGTGAAAAGATCAGTTTATCTGGCCTTGCATCAAAAACCAATTATCTGTTGTAAGGTAATACCGTTATCGTCCAGTTGGAGTAATGAGTGTGCCAGTCCGGATTGTACGGTAATACGTCACAGCAGAACATGTGATATAAAGGTCACACTGAAATAAAAGACGTACTGTAACTCACTTACCTTGATCTTCTTGAAGTCCACTGGCTTCCTTATCAGTTCATAGTATTCAGGAAGCTCTTTCCTGGAGGGCAGCTGCACAAAGACCTCGCTGAGCTGACGGCCTGATCTGTGATCAGAAGCAGAGATTGAGGGTTATCCTGATTTCCTCTGACTGCACATTGAGAGATAAACTATGCGATCAGCCTAGGCGGATTGCCAACTTTGTGGAATAATGTCAGATTGGTTTACATTACCATCATACTGGTGCTCTACTGACAAGCTCACCCCAAGCCAACAGGAGACGACACAAGTCTAAATCCAGGACAACAGGAAATGGTATAAAGGTCTCCAGAAGCAATATTTCTCGAGACACTGCCGACAAGGAGTGTTTTTTTTCTGCCTCATGGGACCCTGACATCTGCCCATATCTGTCTGTAACAGTTCCTCTAAATATTCACAGCGCAGATGATTCATTACACATTCAGTGATTAAATCAGGGCTCAAATTGGTGCAATTATGGTGTGTCGACCTTCATACACACCTCAATTTATAGTTTCTGCTGCAGATGCATGTTTAGTGTTAGTCTGGGGGTGCAGACTGCAGCACAACACTAAACAGCTTTCAACTCATATAAGCTTAGTATAAGATTTCTGAATTGGCAGCTCAGCATGCCAACTATGTAATTATTATGAAGACATCAAGCAACTAAAAAAATAGTTGCAAAATTAATTGGAGAAATTCTACTGAATGTGCTTATAGGACTAGTTCAAATTAAGGTGTGCAATTTTTTTAAATATTAAAATATTTTCTCCTATCCTGACTTAATATGCAAAGAGAACTACAAAGGGAACTACAAGCAAGCCATCTGTATATTGGGATGTACCAATATTAAAATCTGAAACACGTTATCTGATTTTTTTATGCTATCCAATTTTAAAATGTATACTATTTTATCCAAATAATCATAATATTATAATGTACATTTTGAAAAATGGATAATCATTTGTTAAAGATACTTTTAACAGTTTTGCTGAATTATTAGAGTTTTTTAAAGATTAACTTAAGGGAGCATTACATGACATCAAAGGTGATCTAAATGTAAAATAGAGGAAATGTGCATGCACAATTAAATATACAATTTGGTCACAGATAAATTAAGATATATAACTAATATTAGCCAATAACCAATATTAGTACTGACTCTATGGTGCTTAACCAGTGGCTTAAAGAAATATTTCACCCCAAATTTAAATGACTCCTCCTCAGGCCATCCAAGATGTAGACGAGTTTGTTTCTTCATCAAAACAGATTAGGATAAATTTATAATTGCCTGTACATCACTTGCTCACCAATGGATCCTCTGTGAATGTGTGCTGAATAAGATTTCAAACAGATGATAAAAACATCATAATAATAATCCACGCGAAACCAGCCCATCAATTAATATCAACAAATCCATCAAGGTGTTTTAACTTAAAATTAAAACCATCACTTCTGGCCAAAATACAAGTCCATAATCCATAATAATGCTGCCTTCCAGTAAAAAAGATGTTGTCCTCTCACATCAAAATCCACCAACATATTTGTGTAGAACTGCGGACTGTTTTTGCTTGTAAACAGTGCTTGATCTTGAAATGTCTTAATGACATTTATTTCAAACATGCAGCTGGAGTCGTGCATTTATCAGCTGTTTAGACTCTTATTTTGACGGCACCCATTCACTGCAGAGGAATGGTAAACACGTGATGTAATGCTAAATTTCTCCAAATCTGTACCAATGAAGAAACAAACTCATCAGTATGAGGGGTAATACTATCTTTCTTTCTTTATTTATTTATTTATGTCCCCTAAGGGCAATTGGTTTTACAGCAAGACCAGCATACAAAAAAGACAATTTACAATACATAAAAAATTACATTTAAAATTACACAATAAAAAAAAACAGGACAACACAAGACCAAACAACTACCTGCTTCCACATACTCCCCACCTGCCCGAATTTAGCAAAGAGATAGAAGTAGGAATAAATTAATGTTTGTACCTGTTACTCCTAACAGAAGGAAATCTTAACTGAGATCCTGAGGGTAAAAACTGAAACTCAGAGTAGAGAGGATGGGAAGTAACCGTTAAGATAGATTGGGCTTTTCTAACTACCTGGCGATTACTGGCGATTATATAGGTCGGTAGGATGACTCTGCTGAACTCCTAAAATCTTACTGCTAGTGTTAACTATTTTCACCAATGCCGTCTTTGCCTTCACACTAAGACTGCCATACCAGCATAACATAGCAAATGTTAAAACAGACTCAATATAAGATTTGTAAAACAGAGTCATCAGGGATCTATCAACGTTAAATTTGGACAGTCTCCGTAGACAATACATACGTTGCTGGCCCCTTTTACAAATCTTCTCCACATTGACATTAAAATTCAGCTTGTTATCAATCACACATCCCAAATACTTATATGATTCCACAACCTCCACCTCCTGATCTTTAATAGTTGTTCTCTTTACATCACTTTGATTATGCCTAAAATCAATATGCATGTCTTTAGTTTTTTTTCATCTGCATGAAGGAGGCTGACAATAGCTGAATCATCTGCATATTTTACAATAAATCTATTCTGATGCCTACTCCTGCAATCGTCAGTGTATAAAATATACAGGAGTGGAGAAAGCACACATCCCCCATTTATCCTTACTCTCTGAATTCGATCAGTTAGAAAGTCAAGGATCCACCCAATGATACAAAAATCAAAACCAAAGCTCAAAAGTTTCTCTACTAAAATGAGAGGATGAATCGTATAAAAAGCAGATGAGAAATCAAAATTAGAAATTTTAGTTCCCTCTAAATGCTTAAGAACCAAATTCAACAAGGTGGCCGTAGCATCCTCTACCCCACGCCTGGCCCTATAAGCAAACTGAAGAGGATCGAGAGAATCTTCTACCATTGTAAGGAGCCCTTTTTTCAACAATCTCTCAAAACTCTTCATTTCTAAAGAGGTCAGCGCAACTGGCCTAAAATCATTTAGTTCTACTGGATGATTATTTTTAGCCACTGGGATGACTGTAGAGGATTTCCATAATCTCGGCACCTTCTGTTGAGTAAGGGACAGTTGAAAAATATAATAAAAAATAGATCCCAATTGCTCTGCACAGGAGATAAGCAGCCAACCTTCAATTTTATCAGCACTGTAAAAAAAAATTCCGTAAAATTTATGGTAAAAAAAAACGGCAGCTGTGATTGCTGTAATTTTACCGTTAAAAATATGGTAGCAACGTTTTAGGTTTTAACTTAAATTTACAGTTAGATACCGTAATTTCATTAACTGATATAATGTTAATATACCAACCTATTGAGGTACTGAAATCTGTTTTGTACCTTTGTAATACACTGATAACCACCAAATGCAGGTGGTGATGAGAAAGTCACATGATGAACCAAAGCCCATCACAAGCAGCTTTTAAATAATAACATATATAGAAGATGCACAGTGTCATTCACACAAACACTAAACACCATCATGGTAACACACATGAAACTGAAATAATGCAATAAACATTCATTTAACAACATTAGGTGTAACACACAACCCTAATATACAAAACTGATTCGAAAAAAACTAAGAAGAAACAGTTATTTCAACAAAAAAACATCAAATCTGAAATGTAACGCAGAGAATTCTGGGAATGTCAATTTATGGTTCCCTTTCAGTCAGTCACTTTCGACGTTACGTCAGTCGTGACTGACGAATTGGGATCTCGCCCAAGAGCCCAATCACCTTCGAGTGTTAACTAAACAAGCCAATGACAGTTGGCGTGCGTGTTTCGCCACGCGCACCCCGC